GCACACGTCAGGCTTAAGAGTCAAACTGCCTGTGTCAAAATCATGATCTAGTACTTACTACCTGCATAATCTTAGGCAAGCTCTTACCTTCTTCATGCCCCAGCAGCCTCACCTATGACAAGAAGCCTTACTTCATAGAGTTGGGTTGTGAGTCTTAAACAAGATAAATCATGCAATGACCTTAGGTGGTTGGAAGTAGTTAAGTATTTCTATTCAGCACTGATTAGCTCCAACTATCCATTGTTATGGTACTATTCATACTCTGCTGCTCTGGGGAAGTAGAGGGAGCATGGGCTGGCAAGTCAGATCTTCCTAGAAACAAATTCCAGCTCCATCACTTACTCAAAAGTGTCCCTTTAAGTACAGCTGAATTTCACTTTGAAAACAGCAGTTATGAAAGCCCATTTATTTTCCAGAGTTGGTAGTGAGAATTAAGTGTACCTATGTAATCATCTGAGCAAAGTAAAAACACAGGCAATTTTTTTACTTCCCCTAATACCTCTTAAATAAATAATTTCCTCTTCAGATTGACATATGAGTTTGGCCTTGTTTATATTTTTCTACCCAAGAACATTTGTTCATTTAACCTCTATATCCTGGATACTGGACTAGCAGAACTATGAGCCTTTGAGCCTCCTCACTCTGTGTCCAGCACACACCTGACCTCAGTGCCATGTCTTATCCTGTCCCCAAAACAGAGAATGTGGCCAAACACCTCTGATGAATTGCTTCAAAGAATCATGCTTAATTTTCTATTATTTTTATTGGGGCTGTTCATAATATTCATCCGCTACCAAGAAATCATTTTAACCCCCTGAAGCTCCAGACACTAAAAGATCACTGGGATTCCCTGATTTAGGATACAGTAAGTCCTCGAATTACAAACATCTGACTGACATGCAACTCATACTTACAAACAGGGGCCATTACCAGTAATAGGTAAATGTACCTGCTCCAACTTACATACAAATTCAATTTAAGAACAAATAGAAACTATTTTGTTTGTAACTTGGGGACTGCCTGAAATGAGTTTGCTTTAGTCATTTTAATAGTTCAATGCTCTCTTCTGTTTAGCTAATTGTCTTAAGACCCATATATATTTAATTAGATCACTTTCTTACAGTTTATATTTTCTTCCATTTCCCTCTGTGACCTGATCAGGCCCAAAATAAACACACACTTGAAGGCCAATTTCTGTGACATGCTGATGAGAAATGAGCTTCACCTTCTACCCAAAAGGTTTCCATCTCACTTTCTATAGCCATCCCTTCCCTTTACAAACATGTGTCTTATGATAAACCTCACCCTGTGTTCTCTTGCTTAAAGCCCTGGGCCTTCTGTGTGTGTGTTGTGTGTGTAAGTAGGGAACTTAAGCTCAATTTCAGCTCCATTGTGTTAGAATGTGTGTAATAGATGATTTTAAGTTGTATATATACATGTATCATATCATTTTTTATTATTAGGAACTGAAAGGCTGTAATAGAATCCATTTTTATCTCAAAATCCCCTTTTATCCCACTCTGCTTTTTCTAAAGAACACTTTTTATCAAGATTTGGCCACATGAAACCTAAATGCAACACTAACAAAAGAGGACATCTGTGGGAAAGGCAGCAGCAAGCTTTGGACCTGATGAATTATTTTTGCCTAGTTCTCCTGGTGAGTACCAGGCTTCTATGTGTGTCCCACCAAGAATGGAGGCTTTGGAGAGCTGGAGTGATCTGTACCTACAGGGTAAAACCAAATCCATCATTGTAATGCAGACCCAAAAGCTCAGATCTACCACAGATCACTGTTCTGAGTCCCTAACAAGGATGACTTACATCAGGCATTTCATGGAAGCCTCTCTCTTGGCAGATGGCAGAGGCTCCCTTTGGAACATGAAATTGACTCTACAGTTCAGTTTTTCAGGCTTATAAAATGGAAAATGTATGCAAGAATGTCGCTTCCCCTTAGGGGTATAATGTGACCTTGTGTTGGCAATCGTCAAGGTGAGCTTGTAACTCAGAGAGCAGGTTATTTGAAAATGTTCTTTGTGGCTCTGAATCTTTTTTCTGGAGGCCCAGAAGAAACTTGAGCCAATGGATGGAGTTCCTGGATGCCATTTCTCACTGACAAGATTGCAAGAAGCGTCCAGGCAGCCAAGTTGGCACAATACACAAGGAGTCACATGACCAATTCTCACCAAACTAAGCATGTGAGCCAGAACACCTGGATGAATGTCGTGGCCACCAGGGACCCTCAGAGCTGTTGTCCTCCATTCTCACTGTTCTATCTAAACATTTGCACAACACAGGGCAGGACAAGGCCAGCTTGCTCCTTGTTAAGCTCTCCTCACACTGAGTACAGTCTTCCATGGCAACCACCAGCTTTGGAGGCTGGGCTACACGCATGCTAAAGGCCCTTCTAGTGAACTCTTATTTGAGATGAAAAATGGAGATATTTAAGGAAAATGTATGGGATTTTACTGAGACAATGGATGTCTAGGTTTGAAGCTGAAGGGAAGACACATTTCTAAACATCTTCCATGTGTCAGGAAATATTCTAGGTACAGGAAGAAAGGCCAAGATAATAGTAGGTGCATGTGTTCCAGAGCCCATGACTCAATGGTGACTGGGGGTGGGGATATCAAAAGTGTATATATCAGGTAGAAAATGATAAGCATGCTGTAAAACAGATGTAAAGACAGTGCAACGCACGAAAGAGAGATTATATAACTTGGCATTGGGTGATTAGGGCAAGTTTTACAGAAAAACGTTATTAGAGGCAATTCCCGATTTATGAATGACATAGGTTCTGTATATTTATTCTTCAGTTGAATTTGTAAGATGGAATAGGGACATTTGCCTATTACCTGTCATAACCTCCATTCATAAGTGCAAGTTGTTCATAAGTTGGATGTTTATAAATTGGAAACTGCCTGTGTTTGAATGGGGTCTTTATATCCCCAAATGAGATAATGGGAGACACTTATCAAAGGTGGAGGAAAAATGCGTGAAAAGGTTAGAAAAATCAAAGAGGATATTTATGGAGCTGCATGGCTCAAGAAATGGTGTGTGTGTCTGTGCATGTGTGTGTGTGTGTGGGCACACACCCAGCATAAGAGTGGGGAGATGAGACGAAGGCTTGTCCCGTGGTAATTGAAGAGACTGGAGAGTAACAGAACAGGAGTGTGGAGAGGAGATTGGAGACAGACTGTGAAAAGATGTGTTGAGATATTTAGACTTTCTTCTGTAGAAAATGTGGAGCCAAAAATGTTCTTGCTACAGGGAATTGTCATGAATGACCAGCAGTTTCCACCTTTAGGGGCTTATAGGTGGCAAGTGGTGCTTCTCTACCAAGGTGGATACAGAGAGCTCCTTACCTCTGTCCATTAGAGAAGGTGCGCCAGGCTGCCCAGAGAACTGCGGACCACCATGACCCCCAGTCATGCAGGTGCAAGACAGCACACATGTGGCCTGGCCCCAGCGTCACCTCTCTGCACTCTCACCTCCTCTGCACACTTTGAACCACATGGCTTCCCACTAGTGCTGACAAGTCTTTGGAATTCTTGGGTAATCTCCTCTGGCTCTAAGTTTGGTAGAACACATTTTTCAGAACAATTCCCCACAGTAGCTTGGGCAGCGAGAAGCTGGGCCTCTAACAGCACACAGTCATGTCACAGTGCTAGCCTTCCTAGGTCTGGAACTGCACACGAAAAGAGAAACAGACTTAGAGCTTAAAAAGCTATTACTAGAATGAGTTTTCCACCCTCACAGCCAAGCCTAATGCTAACTAAATAAGTATCACAATTGAAGAAAACCTACATTTGACCCAGCATAACCTCTCCAGCTCATTCTACATCTGCTTCCTTGCCCCTTCTCCTCCCTTCTGCACAGGCCCGTACACTCCAGCGTTCCAACATCCAAGCTTGGTCTGCTGAAAGGCTCTGCTCCACTTTCACCTGTGGCGAGTCATTCCAACCTCCTAGGCTTTGCTCCTACATAACCTCCTTCCCACATCCCTTTCAGTATTTCCCTACTAGGTGACCCCAGGGAATTTCTTTTTCTTTAAACTGTGGGAATACTTAGACACATATAACAGGTCCTTTTTGTGTTATGGAGAAACGTAAGTTGACATTGCTGTCCGCCAAATGCCCAGCTGTATGTTTTTATATGTTATCTCATTTCATCCTTAAAGTAACTTTATATGGATTCCTCGTGGTATGCATAAGAAAACAGAAGTTTAGGGAGGTTAATTACTTGCTTAAGTTCTTATAAGAAACAACTGGCTTCTGATTCTGAAATGACTACACTATTCAGTATGTCCCAGCATCATGCTTAGTTATCTGAATACACAGGACCTTAAAACCTGTAGAGACCAGTGACCATGATTATTCCCTAGTCTGGCATGGCTTCTGGCCTAGAAATAAATGCTATTAAAGACCATCAAAGATGATACATGTCATTACATGGATGGAGAGTTTTCCATGTTCCAGCATTCGGTGCCTGAAGACCCTGCCAGGGTCCCCAGAGTTTCAGTGGGACCCATGGTTTGTTGCAGGGAGCTCCAAAGCTCTAGGTGGGTGGGAAGGAAACATTCATATATGGAACCACTCAAACACCCACTTAGAACTCTGGCTGAAAGTGACTATGAAAGCTCAACTCTTCTCCTGCTACTCCACTGCAGTTTCAAGCACAGGGATAAAAGAGAGAGAGCTCAGAATGATCTTGAGGGATTCAAGGTCATCCTGAGACCACCCATTGAATCCTACTCAAGCACAATGGCAGCTTGCATGGGCCCTGAGGACCACCTAACTATCTACATATGTAAGATATTCTAATTATGAAATAGCCAGCCTCTAGGCACAGTGAAAGTAGAACAAACTACCAATGGGTTTGCAGGGCTCACGCAGACTGGCTTTTGCACTGATGGATACATTGAGTGTGTCTGATGGCACAGATGCAGCATCTCAGCTGCTAGCCCAGTGGCTGCAGACACAGGGCTGCCTGTAACCTCAGGGCTACGGGATGGCTTCTCTTCCCTGCCTGGGTCCCTCTTCTTCTTCGTCTCCCTCGTCCTTATAGATGGCACTCTCATGGATCCGCCGGTCCAGCTCAGAGAAGCCCCCCTCCTGGTCTGAGCTGCTGTCTGCACTGTAATCAATCTCCTCCATGCAGGGGGGCTCATCATCAGCTTCTGAGGAGCTGCTGCTGCTGCTGCTGCTGCTGCATCTGCCGTGGGTTCCCAGAGAGCAGGGGGAGGAAGGGAGGGAGAGAGAGGGAGGGAAGAGGTAGAGAGGGGGAGCAAAGGAGCAAGACACAGATGGAGAAAGGGAGGGGAAATGAAAAGAGAGTTTAGCCAGAAAAAGGAACAGAAGAGGGGATGTTTCCTCCTCTGATCACTAGTCTCAACTTACTGCCCCTTTAAGCATGTTGTATATAGACTCCCCTGTGTCCTCAGCCACTACCTTGGGATGGGGGACAAGTTTGGTACCGAATCCACAGGCCTACTTCTTCCTTTGCCAGCAGAGCCTTCATTTTCAGGCCCCATTTCCTTTTTTTTTTTTTTCTTTTTAAATTTCTATCTTTATTCACTGTTCAACTTTTTTTCATATGCAATTTTTTTTAATCATAAATGCATAGATCATGTATACATTAATGCATGTGTGGGGTTCCCTATTTTCAATCAGAAGATGTGCACAGGCTCACTTAGGATTTTTCAGAGAAGGCATCACTGAGCGGGTGAGAATGCCATGGCATCTACTCCCGGGAAAGAGTGCAATTGGAATCAGGTGGAGAGGACTCAAAGCCCTAATAGTTACCACCCTAACCAACAGCACCATGAGTCACACTGCACAGCTCCCCTTCATCACGATAAATGGCTTGTGGTTTATTGGAAAATTCATCCAGGTTGAAATTAATGAATGACAGAGTAAGTGACGGAACAATATTCTGTTTCTACTATGTTTGTGCTTCCCCACTGACCCCCTCCCTCCCTCCAGATAATTAACACACAGAAGATCGATGGGGGTTGACCAGCAAAAGAAAAAAGGAGACAGCAGGAATGAACAACAAAAACTTCACTGCATATTGTGCACAGGGGACATTTCCTCCCAAGGAGCTGTACATCTCCCTCATTTGCATGAGGTACCTTCCTTCCTGAAGACTTTCTAATCACTCCCTACTTAGGACTTAACCAATTAGGATTAGCAGCGTGCTGGGTTTCTACTCGGTGATTTATAGAAAGCAAGCTCTTCATAAATCAGGCAGAGCTGTTCTGAAAATGGGTAATCAGCGGCCTGGTTACACGTTAGCTCATGAAATGAATCAAAGGCCAGGTCTTAATGGTCTACTGACTGATGTGAACTGCTTCTGAGCTCTCTAGGCCCCCAGTACCCTAAACTAAAGGCCTGGTGGGACACAGGCTGAATGGAGAGGATGGGGAAGAATTATGAGCCTTGTTTACACAGCACCATGGATTTAAATGATCATATTTTCTAGGCAGAATTGTGAGTAATACTGTAGTTGGTAATGGGAGGGAAGAGTTCCTCCCAAGAGCCCGAGACTCACCTGCCATCATGCTAGGTACTGAGGTGACAATACAGTGTCATGTCAAGAGCCTGGGTTTAAATCTTGGCTATGGGACTTTGAAAAAACCCTTAATTTCATAGAATGGATCAATAATAATATCTCAAGAGTCATGGTGAATATGAAATGAGAAAGCCCTGTAGAATAAAGGCCATTGACAAATTTTAATTCCATTCATTACTGTGGTGACAAAAAAGATGGTGAAACATCTCCAAAAATGGAAGTGGGGAGCCTAGATGCCTCCTCTCATCGGACTTAATGGGGTGCCCCCATCCTCCATGCACCCATGTAAGGAGGAGGAGGGAGAGCAGGCAGAGAAGGGAGGTTAGGGAGCACCTCCTCTCATGCCATGGAGGCCATGTGGGAAGCCTGGGTCTCCACACTCAGTGCCAGTAACAAGACCCTTCCCTGCCAGTGGCAGTGAGAGCAGCAGGGAGAAGCTCTGGCCTTTCCTGGCCAGAGAAGGGCCACTGAAGAGCTGAATCTCCCACCATAGTCCAGTAGTAACAAGGAGGCCCTCTCCACACCGGGGGCCAGGGAGGTCTAGTGCATAACCTAGACTATGCCCCACTCCTGCACCTGACAGTTATAAGCTCCCCTTGCCTGAGTGGCATCAGGGGAGAAAATTGAATAAGATGCACAACCTCATTGCATAGCACCCCAAATGTCCAGGTTTCCATAGCAAGTTGCTCATCATAAACCAGGGACATCATCACATGTCAGCACATGTTAGAATTACCCGACAGGCTCTTAAAGCATCACACAAGTGCTCCATTGAGTAGTTACAGGAACACATGAAATAAATACAAAAAATGGAATGCCTGAGCCAAGAAATAGAAAATCTCAGAAAAAAAAAAAAAATAGACTCAGCAAACAGAAGATACAATGAAAACTTTAAAATGGATAAATATAAAAAGCTAACGAAAAACTCAGTAAATAGGCAGAAAAGAGAAGATGGAGGGAAGATTCAGTGATCTTAAAAGTAGAAATCATTCAGTCTGAACAACAGCGGAAAGATATCTTTTTTTTTTAATGAAGAGAATATATGACCCTGTGGGATTATAATAAAAGATCTAATCTTCATTTCGCCAGAGTCCAGAAAGAAGAGAGGCTGAAAATATAGTTAAAGAAATAATGCTAGTGGGTGATGCCTGTGGCTCAAAGGAGTAGGGCAATGGCCCCATATGCTGGAGGTGGTGGGTTCAAACCCAGCTCCAGCCAAAAATTGCTTAAAAAAAAAAAGAAAGAAAAGAAATAATGGCAGAGCTTTGCGAAAAATATAAATCTACAAATTCAAGAGGCTTAGCAAATCCCCAAAGAGATAATTCTAAAGAAATATATGCAAATACAGATCATAGCTCCTCATCTAAAAACTAAAGACAACTTTAAAGTCTTGAAAGTAATGAAAGAGAAACTTTCGGGGAACAGTAGGTACAGGATAGGGGGAAACAACTTGAAGAGCAGTGAGGTCCTTGTCAGAAATCATAGGGGCCAGAAGAAAATGGCACGCCATATTTCAAGTTTGGAAAGAAAAGGACTGTCAATCATTTCTCTGGGTATCTGGCATGAGTGTTTGTATTCAAAAAATACAACAAACTCAAACTACTCATGCCAGATACCCTTGAGAAATAAAGGGAAAATTAAAACAGTCTTATAGGAAGTAAAGTTTTGAAAATTTTTGCCAGCAGATATACCCTAAAAGAATGACTTAAGGGCAGCGTCTGTGGCTCAAAGGAGTAGGGCGCTAGCCCCATATATTAGAGCTGGCAGGTTCAAAACTAGCCCCGGCCAAAAACCACACACACACACACACAAAAAGAATGACTTAAGAAAAACTCTCTAAACTGAAATGAAATAATAAAATAAGGAGTTTTGTAACATGAGAAAGGCAGAAAAAGCAGAGAAAGCAAAAATCTAAGCAAATACATAGGTTTTCCTTTTCCTCTTAAGTTATTAAAATTATATTTGACAGTGAAACAAAATTTATTAAATTATATGATGCATTTTTCACTATATTATATAAATATTGAAGATGTTCAGCAACACTAACCATTAGAGAAATGCAAATTAGGACTATGATGAGCTATTACTGCACACCTATTCAAGGAGATAAAATTAAAAAAACATTATTCCAAACGCTGGGCAGGATGCAGATGAACCAGACCTCTCATACATTCCTGAAGGGAACGGACAGCCATTCTGAAAAATAGTCTGTTAGTTTCTTTGAAAACTGAAACTGGATTTCTCATATGATCTAGCAATTTCACTTGTGGGTATTACACGCAGAGAAATAAAATATTAAGTTCACACTGAAATTGTGCATAATTGTTTACAGCAGCTTTATATGTGATAGCTCGAATCTGGAAACAATCAAATGTCCTACGATAAGTGAATGGTCAAAAATGCATGCCACTTAATACCATTCAGCCATAAAAATGGAAGAATTATTGGTACATGGAACAATTTGGATCGTCTAGCCCTTAGGCTGAGTGAAAAAATGCCCATCTCGAAAGGTCATATACTTTCTGTGGCGTGTACGTCCTGTGGAATGTGTTCTCATCCCACTGCCTTACTAACTCTACAATTGGGTGAAGGCTCACCTGGCCCTCACTCTGTTTGCACATGCAAAGTCAGCCATTCCATCTCTGTGCTCCCAGACACCTGCTCCTATTAGCAAATTAGTCATAACAAACACTCATGCCAGATGCTCCTGCACACCCTCAGCTCAGGCACAGAGTGGAGGCTTCATAGACACTTTTACCACATGAACTAAAGAATGCATGAATGCATTCCCTCTTAATATATTAAACTCAAAACTAAGAAGAAATAGAGATGTAAATAGAGAAAAGTAACATCAACAATGCAATAATTTAAAGAACTTAATTTCCAGAAGAGGAAATGACTTGGCAAAATGAAGAAAAAACACAGAAGAAAAGTCCTCTTCTTATGTAGAAGATTTGGGGACTGCAATTACGGGATATTGTGAATCTTAAACAGAATGATTCTGGTTGGTGAAATCCTGAAGGCCTCATCAGGAAAAATATAAAAGTTCCATGTAGGTATTTTTTTCGAAACCCAAGGCATATGGGACTCCCATGAGAGGGGGTGAGGATTATAACCCGCTGGAGATGTGCTGACGAGAACAAGTTATGAATCACATGAGGAAATAATCCACCGCGAGCCAGAGTGAGCAGATACAAAAGCAGCAAAAATACATTCCTACAAATTTGAAATAATATGCCCATGGGGGGGTGGAAACTATAAAATAGATGTTTGAAATGATGAGGGAATTAGAATAAGTTCTGAGAGCATAATGAAACTATAAGCAACTTTTTCAGAAAAAAGGGAAGTTTGAATGTTAAATAGATTCTTTATAAAAGAAAAAAAGCAGATGTTAAAGAGTGTAACAGAGTGGCTGAATAGCAGAGGACACAGTTCAACAGACTCATCAAGAAGAGAGACTTCTAGCGGTAGAATGTACAGTAAGCTGGTGAGAGCCATTATTTAGAAAGATAATGGTTGAAAGGTGATAGTTCTTAAGAAATACTCCACAAAGCAGGAAAATTTAAGAAAAAAATGAACTCCATAATTAGCTACATAATAATGGATATGTATAAAAAAAGGCAAATCTTAGAAAAATTGAT